GGACTACCTATTCATTGTGCCATGCACATACCTTTGATAATGATCTAAATCCCGATCAGCTGATGTTTTTTAAAGTACATTTACATATACAACTTGAAATCCACCCGATTAACAAAATCCAGAAATACATCGTAATTGTTTACACATACCTTTGATCATGATCTAAATCCCGATCAGTTGATGTTTGTTAGTATACATACAAAATTAGTAATTTGCGCCAAAAATATTTGTTTGCAATTTGAAAGTGAAAAGAAAAATTACAACAATAGACAATTTTTTTGCAATGATTTGATAGTTTGAAATGTAAAAAATCACCTATTAAGGGAACCCCCATTCTCGATTTTATTTTTTCAAGATTTTCAATGGGCTGGTAATTCAATACCAATGCCCGGTTGTTTTATAACTTTGCATATATATATTTGAAGATTTAAAAGAAAAGAAAAATAATTTACAAAAAAAAAGTTTGTTATTGTTTTGTTGTAATTAAAGAAAAGTCCTTATTTTTGATGGCGGGCATGATAACTCCTCACTGGAACATCGGAATCCGAAAATTCCAACGGTATTAGAAAGAGTACATGTCTAGCACTCGTATGAACTAGGATTATTGACTTCGCTCTAAAATTAACAAAATGGCGGACCTTTGAAAAAATATTTTTGGAAAATCGCTGATTTTTGACCAAAAACCAAGTTAAAAAATAAAGATCTTCACCGATTGTCTTTATCCTAGTTCATACGATAGCTGTGCACTCACAGAGAAACGTGTAAAAATTTGGAATCGATTGGGTTATTAGTTTTTGAGTTATCGTGCCCGCCATTCGCAAAACCAATGTTTGGGAAAAACGCGTTTAAAGTTTGAGAAGCCCTTCAGCCGTCATTTGATGCTGGCACAATAAATCGGCTATATCTTCAAGAGTTCTTGAGATTTTCACTTGAAATTTTGTAGGGACATTCTTGAATTAGAGTAGATTCGAATTAATTCATAAAAAATTTTGACCCCGAGAATGGGGGTCCCCTTAAACAAAAATTCTATAAGTATTTTCTATTTTCCAGCGATTTTTCGTTTTCTCATTTAAAAAATTAAAAACAGTTCCGTTCCAGAACTTAAAAGAATCTACTAATTTTACAAGTTTTGGAACCTTTTACTCGAAATCCGTTCCTAAACCCACAAAACTGGTAAAACATTGAATCAAGTTTAAGAGAGCACAAAACAAAATGGCGTTCTCTTTGTAAACTATTTACTCGAGAAATTTGAACGAGTAAAAATGTAAACAGGAATGCCAACTTCTGATTGGCTGCTATGTTGATTTTGAAATATTGCCATCTAATTTTGTCATATTTACTAGATTTTCGTTCCCGAACTTTTCGAATTATTTGGTACTATGAGAGCGAATTTGAAATGTTTCCCTTTTACTAGCTTTACTATTAAAAAAGTACTGGAACAGACCATGATGCAATAATAAGGTGATGTATCAAAACAAAAACCTTTGTTTTTGTCTCGATTATCTGTCCAATTTTTCCATATAATATTTCAAATGGTTGGCAACACTGCACATCGAATTCATGTAGAAATTACCCACTTTGACAGTTAATCAAGACATCAGCTGCGCTAAATGGACTACCTATTCATTGTGCCATGGAACAGACCAAACATGTGCAAATTTTGGTACCTTGTGAGAGAGTTGTATTTTTTTCGTACAAAAACCGCGTTGCATCTCATTAGTATCATGATTTCGTTCATGATTTAAAATAAATCCTGCCTCAAAATGATTTAAAATTGTGTGGTAAATTTAGCCTCATTAAGATAAGCCCACTGAGTAAATAATTTAACCCACTGAGTCAATGAATTCCAATACAATGTAAACGTACTATAAATTTATAATGAGTATAACTGTAATTTAAAACAACATTTTTGATTTGATATTTTTACATATTTTATCTAATGGCTAGAAATTCCTATTAGAATTGTGTAAATATTGTCCAGCTACGTGGAATTAGAAATGTGTGTGTATACGTAAACAAATATCAGCTGATTGACTATCATTTTAATACCGTACTAATCAGAAGGCATGTCCTTACTCTAATCTCGTTTTATAGTGCGTTTACATTAGACAGGATTTCGTTAACCCAGTGGGTTTAAATATTCAATTCCTTTGAATATATGTCAAATAAATCCTCATAAAATAGGTTAACCTGGTAAAATGTTCTAATGTAAATGCCTTTTTGGGCCGAAAGAAATAAAAAATGTATATAAAGAAATTTGTTCATAGTTTATCATGGCATAATTACGGAAGGTAGTCTCATTTGAGAAATTAATAGTGGCAATCCTTTTTAATTTGGAACTCATCTATCAATTTGAAATTATTTGAAAAATAAATTCCTTAAAATTTGATGCATGTCGAATGGCATATTTTTTAAAAAATTTAAATTTTTTAAAAAATAAATTAATACTTTCTGTAAATAAGTATCTCCATTTTTTTATTAATATTGTTCTTAAGATATAATTATAGATGTTACAACTTATATTTGTAGGTTATAAAGACTGGGAATTTCAAAATATTAAACATTTTGTAATTATTGCCACTGAACACGCGTTGTGCGTTAATTTGGGAAGATATTTTCATTTAAATTTTGAAAGCTGAATGTTGTCAAAAGTAAATTTATGAAAAATTGGAATCATATGTTTACATAAGATTACCTTGTGTAATTATGCCATGATCTAATGTCTGGAAAATCCTATTAAAATTATGTAAATATTGGCCAACTACGTGAAATTAGAAATGTGTGTATACGTAAACAAATATCAGCTGATTGGCTCTATCATACTTTAAATTCGTTTTAGGCCGAAAAAATGCATATAAAGAAATTTATTCATAATTTATAATGAGATCTATATTTCAAAAAAAATATTTGTATACTCAAATACGAAAAAGGAAATTCAAATTAACAGCTATGTTGTGAGGATATTATATGTGTTTGTTGTCCAATAGGACATAAACAGGATGTGGGAGCTATATATAAATATTCACAGGGGTCTACGTATTCTGATATTGTTTGGTATTGGTATTGCCATTACTACACTAGAAGGCGGAAAGTTCTGGTTATCGTGAAGTGCGACATGTATAGTTTTAGGTGGTGATAAGATGATATTTGTGGGATTAAATGAACCAGAAAAGTTGTTTTTGACAGTTTTTCTAGTCACACCAGGAAGTGAATATCACGCAGAATTCGTCACTGACACGGCAAATTTACAGAAAAAATCCACTGGTAGTTGCGAAGTGTATCATATGGATGTCCCCGCCCGACTACACTGCTCCGCTCACTTGTTAAACATTGGAAAATCGAATTCATTGTTAGAAACACGGAAATTTCAATGTGTCAATGTGAAATTCAAAAAAGACAAATTTTCCAGGATAATGCTAACAATTTTGAACAATTTAAAAATTCCAAAATAAGTGATAGATGCTAGATCACTTTTTTGGTGCTTAGCTAGTTTAAAAAGTGCTAAATCTAGCAGTAAAAGTGCTAAATTGGCAAAACTGAAAACAATGTAGGACAACTTGATGTGTATGATAAAAAATCAACTCTGTAGGTAGTGGCCTCTTCTGTCAAATATTTTAAAAATCATACACAGCAATTGGTTATGTTTATTCGCTTTTTTTTAACGCAAAACAAAAAAAAAAAAAAAAAGAAAAATAAATAAATTATTATATTACAACGTTTTGGAGCATGGTTCTAAATTTGAGCTATAGTATAACAAGTGAAAAAGCGTTAGATATACTGGCAGGTACTTTAAATGAAAATATACGGAACATACCAAAAAATGGACCTATACCGACATTTCTACAAACCGATTATGTGAACAATAATTTTTAATAGAAAAATATACCCTCAGCCTTATGGCTAATTAGTGTGTATACACTTTATAATTTTTAGTGGAGATATTTGGTACCCAATAAGAACCCAATATACCAAATTTCAGCGAATTCGGTTGAAAAACGAGCTCAAGAACTCCAAAATACCTTATATGGGAGCTATGCCTAAACGTGGACCGATATATCCCATCTTCGAACTTGACTTGCCTGCAGACAAAAGACAACCCTATGCAAAATTTCAGCACCCTATCTCAATTCCTTCGTAAGATAGCGTGATTACAACAGACGGACAAACGGACGGAAATGAATATTTCCGTGAGTTACAAACGGAATGACAAAATTAATATACCTTCCATACTATGGTGGAGGGTTTAAAAACATATCGCTTCATTTTTTATTCGCATTCCCATATATTTGCATTTATATATTTTAAGTTGTCTCAACGTATAATTTATTGTCATTCCTATCCTCGTTTTAAATTATTTCTGATCACTTTGTGACCGGAATGTATTACAGCTTTCAATACATGTTTTTCTATCCAAGTTTTGACACATACCAATTGAATATAGAACTTTTATTCTTTTGCTGTTTCTCTTAGATTCCATCTAAAGAATATTTCACACTTGCGACAGCCGGTCATCGATCACTACGAGACAATTGACGATTAACATCAATTAAAATAAAGTACTATAACAAATTAATAAGCTCGCCACCCTGCAATTAGAACGTATTTTTTATATATTTTTTTCCAATTCATTGATAATTTAAGCAGCAGTAATCATCTGATTAGACAGTCACATGTAGAATAGAATATGACTGGAATATCCGAATGCAGTTCACTGCAAAAATCTTAGAATATTGGATTTTACTTTCAAATAAACCAAATGTTTATTACTAATGAACAAACAAAAATTCTATTCGAATGTTATGGATAATTACATTGGTCAAATGTTTAATTACGTATATCTACCAAATAATGCAACAACAATAACAAAACTTTTGGATGATTAATTTTGATTGTGAAATAAATCTTATAACCTGTTATTATTTTCATTTTAGAAATAAATGATTCAAAATAATATTATTAATTGCTAATTTTTTCTTCTTGTTCTTTTTTCTTTGTAGATCACCAAAATGATACCAATATTATCGAAACTAAGTGGCTATTATAGTACCTATGTACTGGCCATTTTAACAATTGGTTATATCTTGGGTGAACTGGGACATTATTTAATTGGTGTCACTTCGAAACAGACGGCCATTGATTTGGAATATGGTGATATATCCTGCCAACAGAATAATACAATGTTCACTAGGGCCGAAGTGACCGAGCAATGTTCGGCTATTCAAAATGAAACAAGGTAAGTTATGAGATATTTAATAAAAAACTTAGCTCAGTAAGGGCAAGTTTAGACTATAGCTTTTATTGTCATCGAGCTAAATTTTCTTCGATTTACCATATAAAATTATATCTACTCTTTATCTCGATTCGCTCAAAATACTGTCCATAATTGAGATAATTTAAAATACAACACTGTTTTTTTGTACCAATAAAAATACACCACCGTACCTAAAAGTACTAAAATGGCAACGTTTATCGAGTCGATTTAAAAGGCGCAGAGTTAATGCCCCATCAAATGTTGAAGGGGAAAGAGATGAAAAAATTCAGGAGAATTCCAAGAAAAGATTCGTCTAAGAAACTAAAATCATATCAATCATGTAGTACCTTCAACTGGCGTCCAATTTGAATTAATAGGGTTACGACATCCTGCATTTAACTGTTCGATGGTGTCATCTGAGCACTAGAAATTAGGAGAATTCCTAGAAAATATTCGACTTAGAAACTAAAGGCATGCCAAATTCTGAATTGTCATCAACTGGCGCTCAATCAAAATTCAATCTGTTAGGACATCCAGAATCTAAATGTCACATCTGAGCACAATATTTACAACATCATCGATATTAATACCGTATTCAGACCTGCTCGATAGGCATGTCGATCTAGAACACTCATGCACAAAATATTACGATAGCGGTGATGGCTAAACACGTATTCTCTTTTTTCTCTATGCATCAGTAATTGTTGATGATTATCTCTCAGTTACGCTTTAACACACCTACTCTCAACTAAGATCTTTAAGAGTAGAATCTTTAGAGAGAAATATTCTGGAAATTCTGAAGTCAGATGCGAAAACTGTGTATAACTTCATAAAAATATAAAATCGGCAGGTTCCGGAAATGTATTCAAACGAAGGGGGAAATTCTTTCAAGATGGTTTCGAATATTTTTTAAAAATGGACTCTGAAGACCTCGAAAATTGAATACATAACCTTGACTACAATCTAAATTGGCAGAAGATAGCGCCACTTGGAGAAAAATGGCAATACTAAAAATAAATTCAATGATACATTGTTTCTAGATAACGGCAGATGTCAGCACCTAAGATAGATGGTAGCACCATCACATATGGCAAGATACAGCAGAATAATCATCTACTTAGAATCCGAAGTCACCTGACCGTCTAATAACCAAACTCGGCATGAACACAAAACATGCTGATAACACAAAATAGGAATGGCAGGAAATAGCGCCATACAAAGGAAAATGACAACACAAGATAAGCCAGGATCCCAACTACTGCATAAAATTCAATGAGACATTGTTTCTAGCCAACGATAGATGTCAGTTCCATTACCTAAGACAACGATAAGTTGTAGCACCAGTACCTAGGATATGATACAGCAGAACAACCACCGATTTAGAATCCCAGCGGAGAAGAGTCTTTCAAAAGGAGTTTCAAATATTTGAAAAATTAGACTTATATCCTCCTCCATATGAAATGCGTCCGGCAGAAATGGCAGGATATAGTGCCATTCAGAGGGAAATGACAACTCTAAATAATCAATGACCCAAACCATGGCACAATGAATAGGTAGTCCATTTAGCGCAGCTGATGTCTTGATTAACTGTCAAAGTGGGTAATTTCTAATTGAATTCGATATGCAGTGTTGCCAACCGCTTGAAATATTATATGGAAAAATTTGACAGATGATCGAGACAAAAACAAAGATTTTGTTGTGATGCATCACCTTATTATTGCATCATGACCCAAACCACTGCATAAAAAACAGTGAGAAATTGCCTTCAAGCGAATTAACAGAAGAACAAAAATAAGGATGTCGAATCCAATTTCGATATCTAAGTAAGGAAGAGGAATATCTGTTTTTCTGTAGAAGTAGTAAAATAACTTAAAAAAAAAACTTTTTGAGACAATAAATTGCAGTAATTGAACCTGATCATTCAAATTTGGTCTACGGTCGAATACTTTTGGTGAGGAACAACTAAAAATTGTATCCACCCATTTTTTAAGCGGTGTACACACTATCATTTTTGACTGTCAACTTTTTTATCGATTACTGAGTGTCCAACATCCATAAATATTTTTGTGGTTGCCTGATGAATGACAAACATGTGAGGCCACACTATCAAACAAGCAAAATTTGGGCAAGAGTGTCATTCAAAAATGATAGTGTGTACACCGCATTAGGTTAGAACTTTCATGCTTCTTCTTGTGTCACTGGGAAGTTTAGAAAAAAGAAGGGTTCAGATCTTTCGATCTTGTCAAACCTGTTCAAAATCAATTTTTACAAACTAATGCAAAATGGACTAAACATTTTTTATATCAATTGTTGTCAACATATAAAATAAGGTTCTGAAATTTGTAATTTTTGGGCTTTGTGATAAAAAATAATAAAATAATAAGTATTTATGAAGAAAATCGAAAGTCGACTTTGCGATTTCCTTAAAGATCAAAAGTCGACTTCGACTTTTTGACTTTTCAATGCAAAAAGTCGATTAGTCGAAAGTCGAATTACTTATCCATAAATGAAAGGTTGTGTTTCATTTACTCAACATTTGGTCCTTCGAGCCGAATTCAAATTATTAACAAATATACTACGACTATTTAGAAGACCACTACTTTTATGATTTGTTTCAAGATGCATTTGAAATCTATAATAAGAAAATATATTCACGGTAATAACTCAACAATACAGATATACATGTAATAATTTCTTTGCTATCAAGCTATGCGAACTAAGAAGTTTATTAAAGCGAACTAATGAACTATTCTTTTGCATCTATTTTCCAGCTGTCACGCTTTAGAGCACAATGGCACAACATATTGTGAATGGAATCGTAATGGCTTGGGTATTGAATATCAGATATTGGCTGGACCAACGTTCATTTTGATCTTTACCATTGCTGGTGTTTTTATGGGTGTGGCTGCTGATCGTTACAATCGTGTTAAAATGTTGACCGTCTGTACTTTCGTTTTTGCGGTGGCTATCATTTTACAGGGTACGGTTAAGGAGTACTGGCAATTGGTGTTGCTGAGAATGATTATGGCTGCGGGGTAAGATCAGGAAACTGAGATTTTTGGAAATAGAATAATGATTTTTATGTATACTTTTTAGTGAATCTGGTTGCAATCCCTTGGCTACTGGTATTATGTCCGACATATTCCCTGAGGATAAAAGAGCCTTGGTTATGGCCATTTTCAATTGGGGTATTTATGGTAAGTTGGATGATTTTGAAATATTGTAGAGAGAGGAAATTAATACCGATTTTCGATTTGCAGGTGGTTATGGCATTGCCTTCCCCGTGGGCCGCTACATTACTCAAGCCAATTTCTTTGATCTGGGCTGGCGGGTCTGCTATTTGGGCGCTGGCGTCTTGGCAGTTATTGTGGCCATTTTGACTGGCACAACCCTCAAAGAACCCGAACGCAAATCAATTTCTGACGACTCGATGACAGTTAAGGATGGCAAGAAGGCCAATCTGTGGTCAGTGTTGAAAAATCCCGCCATGATTATGCTAATGATTGCCGCCTCCATCAGACATTGCGGTGGCATGACATTTGCCTACAATGCCGATTTGTATTACAATCAATATTTCCCTGACACCGATTTGGGTTGGTGGCTGTTCGCTGTGACAATTGGCATTGGCAGTATTGGTGTGGTGGTCGGCGGTGTCGTGTCCGATAAGATTGTTGCCAAAATGGGCATACGATCAAGAGCATTTGTCTTGGCCATAAGTCAATTGATTGCCACGCTGCCAGCCTTTGGTTCGGTGTTCTTTGAACCGTTGTGGGCCATGATTACATTGGGTGGTTCGTACTTCTTTGCTGAAATGTGGTTCGGCATTGTGTTTGCCATTGTTGTGGAAATTGTGCCGTTGCATGTGCGCTCCTCGACCATTGGTGTGTTCTTGTTTGTCATGAACAACATTGGTGGTAATTTGCCAATTTTGGTTGATCCCGTGGCAAAGGCCATTGGCTACAGAGGCTCCATTATGATATTCTATGCTGGCATGTATGGCATAAGTAAGTAGCTGGACAATACTTGTGTAATATTTTTTAATGACTATATAAATTCTTTCAATTCTAGGTTCCATTCTCTTCCTCATCACTTGTTTCCTATTGGAAGGTAAACCCAAAACCTCAGACACTGAAAAAGGTGAAAATCCCGGCATGGAAGTCCACACACGTAACGTCCAGGGCCATGATAATTCCGTGTTCACAGCCGATGAACCACCAGCATACAATGGCATCAACAAGAAACCCTCAGCCTTAACGAATAATTTGCAAAACGTTACCGGTTACAAAGCTCAGATCCATGAGAGTAGTAGACTGTAGTGTTATGACAAATTATTGTAAATATTATTATCATCTTCAAGTACCTTTTTACTGCATTCGTTTTCTCGTCCTCCTCCTCTTCTCTGTCCAAATTGTTATAGTCCATAAGATTACTTCAGATGCATGTGAAAAATAAAAATTGTATAACACACTTTAATACTCAAAAATGTCAGAACAGGTACGATGATTTCAGTTAAGTGGGGGTATTAAATGTTTCACAGCTTGAGTACCTCCCCTGAAGTCTTAGTATTCGTCCTTAACCTAAAAAAATTAATTTTTGTACCTTAATTTCCCTTCCCCATTTTATAGTGTGTAACATTGTTTTTTTTTTTCATCTTTACGAAGTATTAGTTATTTCTGTAATATTAAAAACAAAACGAAAACATAATAGTCATTAGAAATGTTTTTACAAAAAAGAAAAAATGTATAACTGTACTTAGATTATTCTTCTCTACTGGTCCGTACAAAGAAGAGAATATTAAGTATGTTAAAATGTATATTTGTTATAAAATAAATAATTTTTTTATATAAAATCTAACTAATAAATCGTGTTTTTGACATTGATTACAAATCCTAGAACTATAAACCTAGATCTATAATTTGACTATTGGGCGCCATCTGATGCTTCATTTATACAAACTGAAAATAGCGCCAAGAGAACAGTCATATATCCTAGTGGATAAATTCTTACGCCAGTGTAGACATAAGCTCTAACACTTTCTAAATTTGTCCAGGGACTTTTAAAGTTTTTTTCGAGTAAGTCTCCTTGAAAACTACTTTGAAAAAATTTGACTAGTTCTTACATACTTAGCTGGTTTGTGCCACAACATTTGTTCCATAAGCCGAGCTTAAAAAAGATCTCCAGGCACGTCGGTCTTGTGCACAGCTTTTCCAATTTGAAATACCATGCTCCGAGATGTTATCTTCCACTTGATCTTTCCATCGAATTCGTGGGCTTCTCATTGTACCTATCAGTTGGCTCGCTTGTTATGCCTTTTGAACTGGGGCATCCTTATCCATTCTCACAACATGATCTAGCCAACGTAATCGTTGCAGCTCGATACATCTGACAAAGCCGATGTTTGAGAATATATTATACAGCTCATGGTTCATTCGACGGCGATATTCACCGTCAAGACAGATCGGCCCATAGATCTTTCGGAAAATTTGTCTCTCAAACACTCCATGAGCTGCCAACAGCACGGGTAATATCAGTATCTTGTAGAGTGTGATTTTTGTCTGACAAGAAGTGGCCTTACATGTGAGTTGCTTACTCAGACCATAGTGACATCTGTTGGCCAACACTATTCTCCGCCGAATTTCAAAACTGATGTCAGTAGTTTTATTTATGGCGGTAGCAAAGCATATAAAATCTTCGACTACCTCGAAGCTTTAGTTCTCAAGTTCCACATCGTTGATACCATCAGCTTGGTCTTTTCACTATTTACTGCCAGTTCCTTTTTGGCAGACTCCTTCTCAATTTGTTCAAAGATGGCATTTACCGCTCGCAATGTTCGATCCATTATATCGATGTCATCGGCGTAGGCAAGTAACATGCGTTGTTTGTTGTACAGAGTGATATTTCTGTTCACCTTTGCCTTTCGTATGACCCTTTTCCAGCAGGATGTTAAAAAGATCACACGACAAACTGTCACCTTGTCTAAAACCTCTTTCGGTATTAAAAGGCCCCGAGAGGTTTTTCCGACCTTAACTGCTGGCCTTGTCCCAGCCAAACAGAAAGCTGGATAATACTATATATATACGATGAGAATGAGACTTATTTTTCTACAGTTGGCACGTATTGTCTTGTTTCCTTTTTATGTGCACGGGACACAGGATGCCGAGGTTCCAATCGTTGAGCATGTATTTCTCTAGCCAAATTGTACTAATCAGCTGGTGCATGATCCTGACCAGCATCTGACCATCGGTCTTGTATAGTTATTCATCGGTACCTGCTGCTTATTGTTCTTCTACACTGGCCTCATCTTGGCTAGGTGATATACAATATATACCTTCATCTTTTATTGGTTCTGGGGTATCTTCTTCGCCGCCACTATCTGGATACCAGAAGCTTTGCAAAATGCTCCTTTCATATCCTCAACACACTATCTGTATCTGTCACCAGGTTTCCATCTTCATCTCTACAGGAGCATGTATCTGCACCAAAGCCTTCGGTTTGGTGTTTTACTCATTGGTAAAATTTCCGGACTTCTGACTCCTGTACATCTCGATTTGCTCCCACTCACGTTTTTCTTATCCTTTCTTAATTTTTTCTGAAAATACGTTTCTCCTCTCTCCTTTTCTCCCGATAATTCTCCCTCGCATTACGTTCTGTGTACTGTCTGCAGAGTTACTCTATACGCTCCGTTTTCCATATCAGTAGCATTACGACACTCCTGATCGTACCGTGGGTTTCTTGACGGTGGTTTTTGGTACCCAAGTTTTGCCTTTGCTGCAGTTTGTAGGGAGTGGGCAATTCTTTGCCATTGTGCTTCATTGTGCAGGTGGGTAAGTTGAGTGATGTAGGTTTCTACTACCTGTTGTGTTTGCAGTTTTTCGACGTCGAGTTTCGAGCTTTGCAGCTACATTAAGGCGGGTGCGAACCTTGGCTGCTACAAGGTAATGATCTCCTTCAAAACTACTTTGAAAAATTGTGACTAGTAATTTACGGCTAATATTTTCAATTTATGTTTAATAAATGTATGTTTGTGTGGCTCAGAAAGTTTATAACGCCACGAAATATTGATCATAGACCGACCGTTATATAGCATAGACCACTTCCCTGAACGAGTCAATGTGAAAAACTAAACGACTTTACGTCACCGGTCCTGATATTTGATGTCCTTATTCCTAGTAGAGAGAGAGAGAGAGAGAGACTGGAACCGTAGAAAGCCTCACGTACAAGGTCAGGTTTTTTTCCCAAGATGGAAGAAGGTACTCGCACTGGCGTCTACTGTAAAGGACTAAATGTGAATAGACTTACAGGTTAGATAGCGACTGTAGTATATACAGCTTCAAATCTTTGCGATTTGAAAGGAAGCGGAATTTTTAAAAATTTTGGATTTTTGATTATCAGAACACTTCGATTTTATGTGGAGATGAAAAAGCAGAAAAATTAGCTAGACGATGATCGCATTCTACAATTCTAGCAATCAATCAAATCTTTTCCGAAATTTTGAGACGTTCTTCGATGAAAAAGCCAGTGAATTATGACATAACAAACCTAGGTGCAATATGTCAAGATTCATCTGGTCAATTCTGTCAGCTAAAAAACAAACTCAGTGTTTAAATCTGAGCAAAGCTGAAATAAGAATAATGACGAGAATTACTTACTAATATACCAGGGACTTCACCGTCAAATATGTCGATGACGTTACTGACTACTGCAGACTCTGTGACTGCGAGGAGGTGACGGAGATGGCCATAGATACAGACATCATAGATTGGTGTGTGCTCAGCTTCTATCTGCATTAATCTACAATATCTCCAAAATCTAAAATGGCTGGAACGATGCAACCTGAACACGAAACCCATTTGTTCTAATTTTTCCTAGATCTGTTTTAAGCTTATTTGCGAGGAAGTAGAAAATATGGATTTAACCATGGTACAATTATTCAAGGTAGGCTATAGCAACTTATAAATTACAATTTTTTTTTCTTATTGTGGCTTGTTATGCCAAAGTCGTAAACAAATGTGTGTCTGTGTATGTGATGTTTTGCAAAATATAAAAAATATATTCCAAAAATCTTTATGTTTGAAGATGAATTTTGCAACATTCGTAAGACGAAATTCGCGAATGAATCAATATCTAATGCATATTCCCCTGAATATTATAAACCATTTATTTTTTGAGTGTATTTCTTTTGTTATTCTCCACATTGCAAATAAATGGGTGATTCATAAATCAAACAACAGTTTTATATGTATACAAAAGGTGTGTGCTAGGAAAATATATTAGCGTATACACAAACCATTTGCATACTGCTTAGTGATACAGCCTAGAAGTATACTTCAAAATTAGTAGATAAGAATACATGGTGTTACAATGAGTGGTGCTTGTAACAAATATATTGTTCTAATTTGTTATTGTTCCAATAAGATAGATAGTTGTGATGCGATCGATTGAAATTGAATTTAATCTAATGTAAATCTAAAGAAGAGAGCTAACGGAAAGGGATTATTTAAAAAAACATAAAAACTTTGTTCCTTTGCTTGGAAATATCTACTACTATTGAAATTTTTCTTTTTAATCGAAAACAGGCGATGCCGTTATTGTGTCGGTGAAGCGACATAGAATTGTTTGGGGAAAGATTTTTGGTTTTATACAAATTTAAACTACTTTTTCTGTATACGAGTCTAAACACAACCAGAGAGTCAAGCCTCAGCGGTATACTATGTCAAGGATCTTACGGAAAATTATTGAAGCAGTAGCAATAGCTAGTTCGGCTTAAGGATTGTGGGATCAAGAAGAATATGGTGGTAGCGTCTCGTAAATTTATCACGAGATGAGCTAAAAGATTTTACAATACGTGTTTAAAACAAATCCAGTCAATGGATGTGGAACATTTCTTCAAAGCCACACAGATGAGTGTAGTAAATTACATATTGCTTCATAATTTAGTTAAAGAGAGGCCGCTTAGACACTCTCAAAGAAAAACAATTTCCCCAAAGGTTCGTTTGTCATTGACACTACAGTGTGAAATTGTTTTTTATGAGAATCTCATAATATTTACCAGGTTTTTTAGCACATGGATGTAGCTTTCAATATTTGGCTTGGTCGCCCATATTGGTATTAACCACTATCAGACTTATTATCTACGAGACATATGTATCTATTTGGGAAGAGCTACACTTGATAAATGTAGCTCCACCAAACACTTACGAATAGAAACAGATTGCTAATAGTTTTTATGTTGAAACAGGTATCCACCATTATTTAGGGGCAATAGATGGAAAGCACATTCTATGTAGTATCTCCTTAACGAAGTGGTTCTTCAATCATAAAAAAAAAAC